TTGATAGGGTTTTCTATTTTACCGGTCTCATGGTGGTAGTTGGGAGGCCGGGTTATAGGATTGATTGGTGTACTATCAAGGAGGGCTCTAAAGTAAGTAGCTTGATCATATCGTTTATAGAGATCTCAAACCATTGCATCCTTACATCATCTTTTTTGATTCTTGTTGGATTTTTCTCTGTGTGAGTTTTAAAGCTTATGGTCATCATCATGACAAGCTCGAGTTCATCAAAAACGGAGTTCATGCATCTTCCATGATGTTTTTCATATTCGAGTTTATGCTGGTTCTTCCCGATGGAGGTTTCCCCGTTGTTGGATAATATTTTTCGTCATCTTTCCAATGAGCTTGAGTTTGCTATATTCAGGACTCATTTGCAGAAGTTATTGATAGTTCTGGTCTCCGTGCATCTATGTATTTTTCATCATCTATCCAACAAGCTTGAGTGTGTTGTTTTCGAGTGATACAGTGCATCCGTGCATTCATCAGATAAACTTTAGTGGAGATCAACCTAAGGATCGTTGGGTTTGTCTCAAAGTATCACGTTGATACTGATATCACTAAAGCGAATGGTTTTGTGTGGCGGGTAGCTGGTATCTATGGTGAACCAAGGTCAGATGAGAAGGATAAAACATCGAAGCTTCTGCGGAATTTGAAACATTAGAATACCAAGCCATGACTTTGCTTTGGAAACTTCAACGAAGTGTTGCATTCGTCGGAGAAGGAGGGGGGAGCCACGAAACAACAATTGTGTATGGATAAATTTAAGGAGGCCTTGGAGTTTTGTGAGATGGATTACTTGGGATTTACAGGAGATATCTTCACATGGCGGAACAACAGTCACATGGCTAAAAATTACATAAGGGAACGGTTGGATCGGGAAGTAGCGATAGCTTCTTGGCGGGAGCATTTCTCATGTTAAAAGTCACAAATCAACATCTGCAGCATTCTCTTTTTTTTTTTTTTTGAAACGAGGCTAGGAGATTTTTACGATGCATCATACTACCATATTTAAGGGGTAGTATTAAGTTGATCCAACGGTTAATATAGTTCATCTCAAAATCTGGCTTCAGGACAGTTTGGTAATTTTCTATAAGGTTGCCCGACGACCTCACCAACTCCCGTTGCACGGTCGTCAATTGATCTTCACGAGCCTGGAGTGCGCTGCCATATGCACGGAGCGCCGCTGCGTGCCCTCGGCTCTCCGTCCGCCTTGCCGCTAAGCACGTTTGTGGAGTTTGACATCTACTCTGGTTTGATGCATACAGAGGTAGAAGGAGATCATTGACATGGCTAGTATTCTTGGACATACAGGTTCGACGCATACTCAGGTCGCGGGCTCGCCGTCTTCGTCGACCTGCCCTAAGAATTGCTCGACGCAGCGCTGGCCGCTGCCATGGTCGCTTTCCCATAATTTTTTTTAGATTGCCTAGTTGATGGGCGACCGTTCGGGAGCAACCTGCATGTCTGCTTACGAACTAGGTCTGTACGTTTGTCGTCTCCTCATCCCGATCGATGGAACTGATCGAGCTGCCTAATACATGCGTACTGCGTATTGCTGAAACGTATTGGGCAGCATCATCGAAGTCACGTCGTAGAGGTAGCTCGACGGGCCGGAGCTCAGGCCAGTCGCTGATATTCAACAGCTGAACGGGACGACGTATGCCACCAGCTCGTCCCAATCATTATGGGAAAAATCCCCGGTCTCCCAGAAATCTGAGATTGATGTAACAATGAGCTACCTAAAATGCCCCTAACTATCTAATATACTATCAGAAATTTGATGTAGTACTAGCAAGATGTCCATGCGTTGCACGGAACATCATGATGCATTTGTATGAGTAGTTTATTTTGTGGGAGAAAATGATGAACGAGGGAAGGCCTTATTTGCAAATGTAGAGATGGGTGTGGGTATCTTTTTGCAAAATTGTCTAGTTTCCTTCCTATCCGTCGGATATAAATCGGATGGCCTATATTGCAGGATGGCAGATACACCATCATCATCAACTATGTTTTTTATAAGAGTAGAGATTGCCTTCTCCGGACCGTCCAACCATAAAAATAAACGGCCTAAATTGATTTGATGTACTATAAAAGGTCTCAAGATTTGTCATTTTTATTGATTAAGAAGAAGATAATTAGTCGGTTAATTAACGGAAACCCGGGCAAAACCGTTACACAGGCCCACAGAATAGGGCACTCCGACCAACATGGCACCCACAAGACCACACACACCGCCGAGAAGAGGACACTGTCGAGATTGACTACAATGTCATCGTCATCATCTCTCCTCGAGCAGGCGACTCCGACTTCGCCACTGACGACCCATCAAGATCCCTCTGAACGAGCGACACACGAGGACCTCGTCGGCCACAGCCAAACAATTGGCCGAGACGTCAAGGACCGGCAGCTCCGATTTTGTTGATGCGCTTCACAAGAGAAAGTTGCAAGCCTCGCACTGACCTAGTCCATCGCATCTCCGGAGAGCACCGTCCGCTGAAACCGCCCTCATGGAGTCACCGTTGCCACAAGGGCCCCGCCACGCGCAGCTCCGACTTCTCTGTCACAGCGAGAAACAAACAAAGGCGCACCCATTGGTGCATCAGACCACCGACATCAGAAGGACCAGTCGCGACCCAACACCGCACGCCACCATCGTCATTGCCGCACAAGTCACAACGCCAACCACTCGCATCACCGGTTGGGCACCATCCAACCGTGATGTCGTGCTCATCCAGCATAGGGAAAGCACGAAGGGGAACAAGTCTTCAAGACGACGCCCCAACGAGGGAAGCGACGGTGAAACGATGCAGTCACCCGACCCTACGACAGGGCCATAGGCTTTCACCCGAAGACGATTCCGACCACCACCCTATTGTCATTGACACCCATGGTGCGGTGGCGATCAAGCACAACTCGGCTCAGAGCAAAGTGCCAAAGTTCGAAGCTTGGTGGCTTGAAGAGGAGGCGCGTGAGGGGTTAGTAAAGAATGCTTGGGGTCCAGAGGTAGAAGTGAAGAATGGGAGTGTGGGCGATGGAGTAAAAGGAGTTTTGGGTCAGCTTGTTGACGGGAGCAGGAATGTCTTGGGTAATTTGGACAAAAGAACCAGCATGTTGAGGAAGGAGTTAGAACGATGGAGGAAGGAGGCAATCAGGCCTTAACAAGTTCGACATGAGAGTGACTCCGGTTTAAACTCAGCCGGTTGAAGGAGCAAAAAGACCTGTACTAGAAACAATGTGCTCACGTCAACTGGATGAAGGGAGGTGATCGGAGTACAAAATATTTCCACTCATTAGCCACGGAGAGAAGGAAAACAAATCGGATTGAAAAATTAAGGAGAGAAGATGGTGAGGTGGCGGTGGAGAGGGGGCCATGAAAGATGTGGCATCTAATTACTTTTCAAGTTTCTTTCAATCTTCCCCAGGTACCCGTACGGAGGAAGTACTACAACACGTACATCCTCAGACCTCATGCCACCCAAGATATGAATGATTCCTTGTATAAGAAGTTCACAAACCAGGAGGTAATCGAGCCACTATAGTATCGATGATCTCAATGTACCGGGACTAGTTAGGATGCAGTCTATTTTCTATAATGAGGAGTAACTTATACTAGTGTTATAGTTAGGCCCTTCCTAGTGCTCCACGGTGTACAAGTGCTAAGGATGCCACATAAACAGAAAAATGATGTGGCAAAGCAATTAAAGAGGAGAGAGAGCATTATGGTGACCTCAATAAGAACCAATGCTAAGCACGTGAACCTAGGCAAAAAGACTACCAACCAATACATGAAGGAGTTTTATTACTAAATAATTAAATAGAGGAGGCTTAGCTACAAAACCTAAGCATCGATGCATTGGGGGCATTAGTTGCTAAGCATTTTAATGCACTTAGCACCCCACTTTAACACCAATGCATCGGGAGAGGTCTTATAACAGTAGTCTAAATTACTATCTTCATAGTGCAAAATAACATAGTAGTAGTGTCATAAATAGCTTCATTTATTAACTTGTGACTTATCCTTTCTTGAGAAGCGCTATGTTACAGTAACATATTATGTTACTCTAAACACCTCTCTTTTTCATTAACTACATGTCACGTAAGCAAACTTTTATTGAGGTGCGCTATATTACTATCTAAGTTACTCTCACTGTGACTAGCCTAAGAAGTTTTGAGATGTTGCTGCAGGGAAAATGACCGAGGAGGTGATGGGTGTGCTCAATGGGGGTCAGATGCTAGTCAATTGGAATGACACGTGTTGTTTAGATCCGTATAAAGTCCCCAATCCAGGAAGTATGAAGGATCTAGGGCCAATTAGTTTGTCCAATGTGATGTACAAGATCATTTAAAAATTCTTGCTAATGGATTGAAGCAAATTTTGGATGAAATAATTTCTCTATATCAGAGTGCTTTTGTCCCAGGGCGGCTAATTAGAGCTTATGAATGCACTTGTAATGTTTTTTTATGACAAGTTTAGTGGCACGATAATAACAACTTCAGTTGTCAAGCAGCACAATTTTCGTGTTTTATTTTATTTTGACAAAAATTTGCCTTGCGTCACTGTAATTTGTTATCCTTACGTGATTGGGATTGTCGTCGAAAACTGTCAGGACCAGATTCCCACGCATCTAATGTGTGACACTTGTCATTTAGGTAGAAGAGTTATAGTGTTTCATAGAAGAAAAAAAACCCCAAAACTGACCAGAGAAACAGAGGGCACATCGAAACTGGCTAGTACGTGGTGCCGGATGCAGGGACGTGTGATGAGATGAGGATTGATACGTGGCGAGATGATCCAAGTCATGAACCAAGCATAGATATGTCTTCCCAATCCCATTCCATGTGTTTGTGCAAGGTTACCACTATTTCAACAAGAAATCTGCGCTCAATCTGCACCGCAGCTAATATATTAGCTCGAACTGAGCGTCCGGCCGGGCTCCGGAGTCCCCAAGAACGAACAGGAGCGAGGACCGGACCGGAGATAATGGCGTCGGAGTAGAGTGATGGAGTACTCCTTTGCCCGAGGCGTCTCCCTCCCCGCGTTCGCCTCCTGCCGGCAAGTATAACCAATCTGGCCTGCTTTTCCATTACTGTATCCTTCTCCTTCAGTCTTGCCGACGGTGTGCTGTGTTTCGACTGCAGGATGCGGCACGGTGCCATGCGCACGAGGGCGAATCTTCGGGTCGTGCCAGCGGCGAGGCCGGTCTCGGTGGGCGCAACCAGGAGGATGCTCGGCTCAGCCATGTACGGTGGGCGTGCAGCACGACTGATCGATCCTGTCCATCCATCGAGTGCCCACGGACACAGCTCTTACACGCATGTTCCTTCTTTTCCAGACACGGCAGCGCCGGGGCGGCGGCGTTGCGCGCGGATGACGCGGAGGTGGCCGTGCGCGTCGCCTACGAGCTGCTGCTGGCCGGCCACCGCTATCTCGACCTCAGGTAGCGTACAGAACCAACACACAAACCACACAACGATTAGCTACTCTAGTGCTCTGTTCTTCTGTCAACTTAACTGACCGCAAAATTCCCTTCAAAAAAAAGAACTGTCCACAGTGAACGGCATATAAAAGCAACAGTTGTCATTCCAGTAATAATGTAACATCTGATGGTGAGTATTGCTGCTTCTTGTGTAGAACGAGGGTGAGTTCGGCGGCGGCCATCCGGCAAGGGCGGTGAACGTCCCCTACACGTACAGCACCGGCTCAGGTAATTCATCAAACCCACATCACTCGTTAATTGCTCTCCACCTTCAGTATTTTTGTGACTGTAAATACATAATGTCGCTTCGATTTTCAAAATGCAGTACACAACTTAGGCTTCTCCGCTGCTCTGATCCAATTCTAATCCATTAGTAGATGTAATTCAACATGATTTGTTATTTTTAATCGACAGGAATGACGAAGAACCCGCACTTTGTCCAGCAAGTGTCGGCGATCTTTGGCAGGGATGACGAGATCATCATCGTGCGTTCTGCCACTGATGCTGAACGTTATCTGTTCTTTCATCTTTCAGTCGAGCGTTCCTTATGTTTAGAAAACACCACTTGTCAATTTCAGGGATGCCGAAGTGGCAAGAGGTCTCTCATGGCAGCAGCCGAACTCTGTTCCGCTGTAAGCATAAAATCCTAGCACCACTATCTCTATCTCTTTTTTTTGAAAGGAACATACAACATTCCATTAATTAACTGAACACGCTGGGCATATCGCCAGCTACAAGTTCTATTACAAACTCTGGGAATTGGCCCAGCTAGGTTTCTAGACAACTATTCCCCATACACGCACCATGCGCAGCTAAAGTGTGCACCACTTGGTTACAGTCTCTACTACAATATTCAACAGCTACAACATTTAAGCCCACATGCATTTGAAATTTAACATCCTGGAACAAAGAGCCTAACTCTGAGAGATCATACTTTGTAATAGTGATAGCCTGTTTTATTACCATTGAATCTGTCTCGAACATCACCTGATGGCACCCCATCTGAACAGCTATATTAGTTGCTTGTTATAGTGCTGAAGCTTCAGCATGCAGGGGGTTTGAGACGTTCTCCAAATTACCTGCACCAGCTGCTAATAGAACGCCATGGTCATTTCGAATTGCAAAGCCCCATCCGCCTGTATGTTGTGCTTCAAAGAAGACCCCATCCGTATTTATCTTCAGGGTTCCAGTAGGAGGCGGCTTCCATTTTTGCTCCACTTTTCTCTTCGGCTCATTTCTTTGTGACCTGGACGAAATACAGTCAAGTAGGTGATACTCAATAGATGATGATACTTCAGAGATGGTTCTCATTGTATCACCAATGTTTGCTTTATTTCTTTCATGCCACCATAACCACAATAAGAAACAAACTTTTAAGCATTCCTTCGCCTTGAGTTTTAATATTTCCTCACAAAAAGTTTTTGAATCTGGACAGATGAGAAGCTTAAATCTGATGTGTTCAAGTAATGATACTCTCCAGAGTTCTTTCACTTTTTTGCATTTTAAGAAAATATGATCCCCATCCTCATCAAGTCTCAAGCATATTGGGCATCTGGTGTCAGTAGGGATACCTTTTCGTTGTAGTTTTGTTCGTAGCGGAAGGCTGTATGTTGCAACTCTCCACAAGAAGTGTAGCACTTTGTTTGGTAGAGGAAGTGCCCACAACTTCTTCCATTCGAAGCTTGAGTTTTCCCTCTCTGCATTCGAGCTTGAAGTTAGTCCAGAGGGTGAGTTTCTCGCTGCACTATCTACAGCCACCCTATATGCTGATTTAACAGAAAAGACTCCTTTTTTTATCATAATGCCATCAAAGGAAATCACCTGTTTGTTCTTGTAGGGGTATTTGTAGGATGACTTGGGCATCTTCCGGCCAGAATATTTGTTGGATCAGATATGCGTCCCACTGGTTCGTGATGGGGTTAATGAGTTCAGATACCTTAGTAGTGAGATTCCTTCCCTGGGCGTGCTAATTCTCCTTGTGCTACCTCTAGGGATCCAAGGATCACTCCAAATTATGATGTTCTCACCATTGCCCACTCGCCATATAATCCCTTTTTTCAGCAGTTGCATCCCTTTTAGTATGCTGCGCCATGTGTAAGAGATACCTGCTACCGGTGTGGCTTCTAGCATTGAGCCATTGGGGAAGTATCTAGCAGCCAAGACTTGTGAGTAGAGTGAATGGGGATTTTGTAGGATTCTCCATGCCAACCTGGCCAACATAGCTAGATTGAAGAAGTGCAAATTTCTGAAACCCAGACCATCATCCACTTTTGGCTTCATTAATTCTTCCCGACTTACCCAGTGTATCTTACTTGTCTTGTCCATCTGACTCCACCAGTAGTGCACAATCATTGCACTTAAATCCTCACAAAAAGATTTGGTCAGGTCAAAACATGCCATCGTGTATACTGGTATCGCCTGAGCTGCAGCTTTGATAAGCACCTCCTTCCCTGCCTTCGACAGGAGTTTTTCCTTCCAGCATTGTATCTTTTTCCAAACTTTCTCTCTTAAATAATTGAAGGTATTTCTTTTATTTTTGCCCATGTATACAGGTAGACCCAAGTACTTTCCCGAGGTGCCTTCCACATTTATCCCTAGGATCCTCTCATATCCTCCTTTATCCTCCCATCAATGTTCTTGCTGAATAGAATGGTTGATTTATCCTTATTTATCATTTGTCCAGAACAAGCTTCATATGTGCTTAGGATTTTATTCACTTCATGCGCCACACTCTCGCTTGCCTCCACTAATAAGAGTGAATCATCTGCAAATAGGAGGTGGCTGACACTTGGGGCTTGTCTGCAAATCTTTATTCCCTTCAACCTTCCATTAAATTCAGCCTCATTAAGCATCGACGAGAAACCGTCCGCACAGATAAGAAAGAGATATGGTGATAGAGGGTCTCCCTGGCGAAGTCCCCTTTGTGGGATGATTACATCGGTTATGTCTTTGTTTACCTTGATTTGGTACTTGACTGTGGCGATGCACTTCATAACCAATCTAACCCAGTTTATGTTGAAGCCAAGCTTGATCATCATGTCGTTATGAAACTTCCATTCCACCTTGTCATATGCTTTGCTCATATCAAGCTTTAAAGCCGCGTAGCCCTTTGCACCGCTTCTTCTCTTCTGCAAAAAATGTGTAAGCTCATATGCAAGTAAAATATTATCAGATATCATCCGTCCAGTGACGAATGCACTTTGATTTAGGCTAATGATGTCAGGTAAGATTTCTTTCAATCTGTTAGTTATTACCTTCGCCACCACTTTGTAGAGGACATTGCAGAGGCTTATCGGTCTTAAGTCTTTCAGGCTTTCTGGTGTTTGTGTCTTTGGTATTAGCACCACCATTGTATTATTCCAGCCATCTGGCATTTCCCCTCCGTTTAGAACATTCAACACTTCCTTTGTTACCTAGTCACTGACGGTTAGCCAAAATTCTTTAAAAAAAATTGCAGGCATCCCATCAGGGCCCGGTGCTTTGAGGTCCCCAATACTAAACAGAGCTTTCCTCACTTCGTCTGCTGTGTATTCAGCACATAAGATTTCATTCATTCCTTCATGGACTCTTGGCGTAACCGTTTGCAGAATAGTTTCATTGTTTTGTCCTACCAAGGCGGAGAAGAGGCTATAAAAATACCCTGCAATATGCTCCTTCAAGGATTCTTCTCCTTCCACCCATCTACCATCTTCCCTCTTCAGTCTTCCAATTGTGTTTCTTCTTTTTCTTTCTGAGGCAAAGGCATGGAAAAAAAACTGTATTTTTATCTCCTGAACGCAGCCACGTGATGTGTGCACGTTGCTTCCAGTGAGTTTCCCTTTGATGTTCTAGTCTGTCAAGTTTCTCCCTCAAGTAAAGTTCCCTAGAGACACTCTCTTGATTTATGACACCTCTTCTGGTTCCCTCCAGTTCAGCTTTCGTGTGTTTAATCCTTTTGTCCAGATCACCAAGAACATTGTGGTCCCAGTCCTTTAATTTTCGTGCCACTGCCTGTATCTTGTCAGATGCATTATTTTTTCCTCTCAGACTCGCAGCAGCCCAAGCATTTTCCACCACCTTTTGCATTCTTTTTCTTGGAGCCATCTTGCTTCAAACTTGAATGCGTTTAGATGTCTCCTTACCATAGGGTAGCTCCCCCTGCCTTATACCCATATGGTGACCGGATGGTGATCTGAGTGCCTCGGGTCTCCATTCACTATTTTATATGCGGGAAAGCGTTGACACCATCTTTGGTTACCCACTGCTCTGTCTAATCTTTCTTTGATATATTTCTTTACTGTGTGACTATGGTTTCGCCAGGTAAACTTATCCCCTGTGTAGCCTAAGTCTCGGAGGCCGTAGTCAGCTAGTGCGAATCTGAATTTCTCCATTGCTGATTGTGATCTCTCTGGCCCTCCTATCTTCTCATGGAGGTACATGATTTCGTTGAAGTCTCCTGCACACAACCATGGTAGAGTGAGCTGTTGATTTAGGATGCTTAGTAGTTTCCATGTTACATTCCTTCTCTCACTTGTTGGTTCTCCATATATTCCAGTAAATCTCCATCTAAATCCGTCTTCCTCAGTTATCTCCACATCAGTATGGTATCTGGAATAATTGTGGAGCTCTACCTTTATTTCCTTCTTCCACAATAATGCTAACCCGCCACTTTTTCCTTCACAGTCCCTTGCCACCAAGTTACTCATTCCCAACTTCCATTTGAGACTTTCCATTCTCCTTTTATCAAGTTTGGTTTCTGATAAAAAGAGAAGGTCGGGGTCCTCCTGCTTCTGCACATCCAGAAGCCCTCTCACTACCGGGCCGTTCCCCAACCCCCGGCAGTTCCACACCGTGATCCTCATTGGGTCTTGCGGGATTGGTCCACCAATCCCGCTTTTGCAATTAGCTTTGGTTCTTCCGCCATCGTGTTTGTTTCATGACGTCCTCTTATAGCCAAATTTTCAGCTGGCTCCACATCCATCCTCATCGTCTTTTCCAACTCTAGCCCCTCATCAATCTACATGTCATCTGCAGATCGTTTCTTTGTCTTTGGAGTTGTCTCAAGTTGTGTCTGATTCACTTTCAGCCTATCATGTTTAATTAATTTAACTTTCCTTCTTTCTTCTTCTCTTCTGGAGTGTCTCCCTTATTTGCACAATTCCTCAAATTCTTCGGTTTTACCCCTGCTTCCTCCTCCACCTGCTGCGTTATATCTTTGGTTGCAGCTTCATTCATCTTTGGTTGTTTCCCAATTTTGTCGACCTCTCCTTCCCCTGACTCTTGGGAAACAGCCATGTAAATTCCCCCCCCCCTTCTTTGTCAATATTCATTTGTTCTTCCTCGTTTGTCCCCTTTTCCCGCATTTCAGTTAAGGACTCATATCTGATTCGCTTGCTTGTCGGCTCTCCACCAACCTTCTCAAAGTCTAATTTTTTTCCTTTGGTTTGTTGATCAGTGATGTCCTTTTTCAGCCTCAAGGGACTTGTGACCTCTTTTTCTTCCTTAGGGTGTGAGCCCGCAATTCCTTCACCTTCAACAGAGCTCTTCCTCCATGAGATGGCCTCACTACCATGTAACTTTCCCCTGTTACCACTACTATTGCTTCTCCAGCTGCCTGCCCTTTCAGAAGGTCCTTTACTTTTTTCTTCATCACTTTGGTTCCTCCTAAAAATTTCAGCTTTCAGCCATGGACCATATTCTCGTTTTTTCGCTTTATTTTTTGCTCTGCATGCTCTATCACTATGCCCAATTACGCCGCACGCATAGCCAGAGTCTGGTAAAAACTCGTACTTAAAAGGAGACGAATTTATCCTCCTTTTCCTTTCGCCGTCGCTCCCTTTGTTTGCCCGCTTTTGTCCTCCGCCCTCCTTGGGCGCCGCCTCGCGCGGCCCCTCCCGCCGCCTGTCCTCCGCCTCCAAACCTCCTCCCAGCTGGTGTGCTAGAGTTGAAATTAGGAGCTCGCCCTAGCACAGTTGACTAGATGCAAGGTGTTGGCGGGGATGGGAATGAAACGAGGGGAAATATCTCTGAACAGAGGATGACAAACCCGAGCTTGTGCACTCCCTAATTCAGTTGGGGTGTGGGGAATCAGCACAACGGGGTGCGAACTTGGCCTGAATTGATTCACGGCTCAACCGGGAAATGATTTGGGATTAGATCTGGTGTTGTGGGTGTGTGGAAGAATGGATCGAAATCAGATTCTGGATCGCCTGTGAACTCTGGCGAGAACCTACCCTCACCTGCTGGAGGGACCTAGAACCGTCACCTGTACCACTATCCCTATCTACTCATATCTATCTATCTGTCTCATCATCGGTAGTTATGGTTTCACCTTGCGGCTTGTGGCACGTGATAGTAAATCTATCTTCTTTCAGGGCTTCACTGCAGTGACCGACATCGCCGGAGGGTTCTCGACCTGGAGGGAGAACGGACTGCCGGTCAATGGACGGTGACAACGCGGGCTTCCATAGATGTGGTTGTAACATCGTAATTTGTCTTAGCATGCTCCGAGACACCACGTCAGTGCACTGAATAAGCAAATGCAGCTTGATATGATGAATAGAATAGATGTGCAATATTAATGTTAGAATTTCCGTTCTTCACCTGACCTCATGTAAACTGGCCCCATTACAGAATAAGACGTGTATGTGTAGTGGAACAGACTAGAACTGGAGCAATCACACACTGTATTCATTCACAGGAGAGTACATATATATATATACAAGTACATGGGCACAACGTGCACGCACTAACTGATTAACTAAGTCCATAGATGCTAGCTGCATGCGATCAGAGTGGAGGAAGGAGCGCAGGAAGTTGGGAGCAGGGACGTGGTCACGTCGGAGCTGCATGGACTGCATGTGCGGATGCATGCGTCCAACACCCCCCCCCCTCCCCCCAGTGTGAGCGTCGGTGGCGCTGTCGACGACGCACAGACTGGATCTGAATTCCGCAAAGGTTGCAGCAGGTAGGCCTTTCGTCATAATGTCAGCAAATTGTTGACTGGTTGGGACGTGATGAACACGAACTTGGCCAAGCGCAACTTTTTCGCGGACGAAATGAACGTCAAGCTCAATGTGTTTAGTGCGGCGATGATGTACTGGATTCTGTGAGAGATAAGCAGCGGAGACGTTGTCGCAGAAGACAACCGTAGCTTTGCCCAAGTCGGAGTGGAGCTCGTGTAGGAGCTGGCGCACCCAACAGCACTCGGCGACCGCATTGGCCACGGCTCGATATTCGGCTTCGGTGCTTGATCGAGAGACGGTGGGCTGTCGCTTGCTGGACCACGAGATGAGCGAGTCACCGAGGAAGACACAATAGCCGGATGTCGACCGGCGAGTGTCCGGGCAGCCGGCCCAGTCGGCGTCGGTGGGCGACGTGGCGGCGATGAAGAGCCCGTGCGCAGTGGTGCCACGCACATACCGCAGTATGGTTTGACCATGGCCCAATGCGGTTGGCGAGGCGCATGCATATGGAGACAGACGTGTTGAACTGCATATGTCAAGTCTGGGCGCGTGAGGGTGAGATATTGCAGAGCTCCAGTGATGCTGCGATAGAAGGCGGCATCCTCAACAAGGCCGCCGTCGTTTGCCGAGAGCTTGGCCTTGGTGTCGACGGGTGTCGGGGCGGGGTGGCACGAGATCATGCCAGCCCGCTCCAGAAGGTCCTCGACGTACTATGCTTGGTGCAGGAGAAAGCCGCGGTTAGAGCGCTGGACCTGGATGCCGAGGAAGAACTTGAGGGGCCCGAGGTCTTTGAGAGAGACGACAGCGTGCAGCTGGCTGATGATCCGCCGGAGGAGAGCGTCGGAGGATGCAGTAAGCACGATGTCATCGACATACAACAGGAGGTAGGCGACACTGTGCCCTTGCTTGAGGACGAACAGAGACGCGTCAGAGCGGGTCACCGCAAAGCTCAGCTGAGACAAACACCCGGCGAACTTGGCGAACCATGCCCGGGGAGCCTGCTTGAGCCCGTATGGGGACTTGGAGAGCAGGCATACGTCGGAGGGGCGCGAGGCATCGACAAACCCAGCCGGCTGTTGACAGTAGACATGTTTGGTGAGCTCGCCGTGGAGGAACGTGTTCTTGGCGTCAAGTTGATGAACAGGCCACGAGCGAGCCGCCGCAAGCTGGAGAACGAGACGGATCGAGGCGGGCTTGGCGGCCGGGGAGAATGTGTCGGTGTAGTCGATCCCCGGCCGCTGAGAGAAGCCACGCACGACCCATCGTGCCTTGTATCTGTCGAGAGAGCCGTCGGGTCGCAGCTTATGGCGGAATATCCATTTGCCTGAGATCAGGTGGGCACCGGGCGGACGCGGGACAAGCGTCCATGTGCGGTTCGCACAAAGGGCATCATACTCCTCTTGCATGGCGCCGCGCCATGCTGGATCACGAAGGGCAGCAGTCACCGACGTGGGAAGCGGCGAAGGCGCGGCAACACCGGCCGTGAGAACATAGTCCGCATCATATTTGGTGTTGCGATGGCGGACGCCAGCCATGGCGCGGGTGATCATGCGGTGACCGGGGCCCGATGGTGTTGGAGAAGGGGCTGGTGGTGCAGTCGAGTCGATGCAGGGCGGCGTCGACGGCGGCGTGGTCGCGGCGACAGTGGAGGAGCCGGGTGAGCCATCAGGCGAGGGAGATGCCGAGGCCGCCGACGCGCGGGACGCAACGGAGGGCGTCGTGGAGCGCGGCGAGCCGGACAATCCATCCGGCGAAGGTGGTGGCGAAGCCGACGAGGCGCATGACGCCGCGGAGGGCGTTGAGGAGCGCGGCAAGCCTGTGGTCGGGACGAAGGAGCCGACCGATGCAGCGGGTGATGGTGGTGGCGAGTCCGCGGTCGAGGTCGAAAACGAGCCACCAGGCGAGGTCGCGGGTGTGGCGGCCGAGCCGAAGGGGTCCGCGGTGGACGAGGCGGACGAGGTAGAGGCCGCGGCAGCAGTCCCAGGTGGTGTAGCCGGTGACGGGGGCGCGCCGACGCGGGCATGCCACTGGGCGTGTGGCGGAGGAACCGGTGCTGGGCCGTCGTCGCAGAGGAGCGGCGAAGGCAGGGCCGATGGCGAGGCGGAGACGTCAGAGACCTGCGCAAATGGAAAGACACGCTCGTCGAAGTGCATGCTGCGTGAGATATAAACGCGGCCGGTTAGAGGATCGAAGCCCTTGTAGCCAGCGTGATCCGGAGGGTAGCCGAGAAAGACGCACGCACGCGAGCGGGGCGCGAGCTTGTGCGGAGAAGTGCCGGTGGTGTTTGGGTAGCATAAGCAGCCGAAGACACGGAGGTGCTGGTAGGATGGTGGGGAACCGTGGAGGAGCTCGAAGGGAGTGGTGAGCCGGCGAGGGCGACACGGCGGTCAGTTGAGGAGATACGTGATCGTGGCGAGGGCATCGGGCCAGAATTTTAGGGGTAGGGAGGCATGGAAGAGCAGGCTGCGGAGGCCCTCGGTGAGTGTGCGTATGATGCATTCAGCTCGGCCGTTCTGTGGCGAGGAGTATGGGCAGGAGAGTTGGAAAACGATGCCGTGCATGGTGAGGAAAGCCCGGAAGCCACGGTTGTCGAATTCACGGCCGTTATCGGTGCGAAACGCAAGGATCGGACGCTGAAACTGGGTATTCACGAACGCATGGAAGGAAACTAGGATTTCAAATACGTCGGATTTGCGACGGAGAGGGAAAGTCCAGGCAAAGTGGGTGTGATCATCCAAGATAACCAAAAAATAAGCAAAACCAGAGTTGCTAACAATGGGAGATGTCCATACATCATAGTGTAACAAATGAAAAGGAGTAGTAGCTATGGTGGAAGAGGCAGAATAGGGCTGCCGAACACTTTTGCCAAGCTGGCAGGCATGGCAAGTATGGGCCTGCGAGTTATTACACTGAAAATCAAAAGATGATGTTATTGCAAAGAGGGCGGCGCGTCCGGGATGCCCAAGTCTCTGGTGCCACAGGTCGGTGGAGACAGCGGCAAGCATGGCGGAAGGTTGCTGGACGTTGGCGTTGGGGCGAAGTGGATACAGATCACCGGAGCTGTTACATCGGAGGAGCACCGTCCCGGAAATGAGATCCTTAATAGAGAAGCCAAATGGGTCAAATGAAACAGCAACAAAGTTATCACGGGTAAAAGTACGAACAGAAATCAGATTTTTAATGAGATGAGGGGAGATGAGGACATTGCAAAGGGTGAGAAGGGAGGAAGAGGTGGGAAGGAGTGCATCGCCGGTGTGGGAGACGGGCATGGTGCTGCCGTTGCCAACGATGATGCCTGGATGCGTGGGGTGAGGGAAGGAAGTGGAGAGCATACCAGGATCAGCGGCCATGTGAGAGGTGGCCCCCGTGTCGAAAAACCAATCCCCGCCGCCAGAGTAGGGTTGTGGCATCGACATGAGGGCGGTCTGGAGAGAGGACATGTCCCAGGTGGCGGCGGAGGGCGTAGGCGCGGTGTTGGGGCCGGTGGACGCGAGGAGCCCCTATGCCGATGGGTGGAGGCCGAGCACGCCGGCGCTGGGCGGGCGTGGTAACACGGGCCAGGCCTGGAAGGTCCCAGTCCAGGGGTTGAACCCCGGGAACTAGGGCGCTTGGGGGCGCTGGGGCACGCCGGAGTTGTGGAAGAGGGCGGGGGCAGAGCTGCCAGCCCCGCCGTGGCCGGCGGGAGGGCCATAGCCGCCGTTGCCGCCGGTACCGCCGTTGCCGCCCTTGCGGCCGCGTTGGTCGCTGTTGTTGTTGGAGGAGCCCGTGTGTGGGGGAGGTGGAGGCGGGGTGGGCGCCGCGGCGGAAGCGCGGGCCATGGCGTGGAGCGCGGTGGCGGGCTCGTGAGCCGCAGCGCGATCGATGCGCCGCTCCTCCTGCAGCAGATAGGAACGCGCCTGAAGGAACGTCGGTAGCTTTGTCTCGTCGTACGTCATGGTGCTGATGGCGTGGCTGAATTTGTTGGAGAGGCCGCGCAGCATGTTGGAGACGAGGCCGAGGTCCGTGACGCCCATGTCACAGTCGCGGAGGGTGTCGGCGAGGGTCTGCAAGCGGGTGAAGTAGTCCATGATGGAGAGGTGCTCCTGACGAAGAGAGTGGAACTCCTCGAGGGCGATCAGGCCGCGCTGAGTGCAGTTGTCCATAAACAGACTGCAGATGGCCTTTCACAAGATGAAGGCGGAGGGATGGTCCTGCGGAACCATACCTTGGAGCTCGTCGGAAATCATGGTATACAGCCAACGAACGATGCACCAGTCCACCTGTGTCCAGGCGAAGTCGTGGCGGCGGTGCTTGGCGTCGACGGGAGCCGTCGACGTGGTCGTAGATGCCGTACGACATGAAGAGGGCGTGGAAGAAGGAGCACCAGAGCTTGAAGTTGGGAGGGTTGAGGTGGAGGGTGACGGGAATTTGGCCATGAATGTTGAGGGTGAGGATGGTGGAGAGAGGAACAGAGAGGAGGCTCGCTGGGGTGGCAAACGGAATGGAGC